CATTCGCCTTGAAGCCTAAAATCGACGAACAACTCGATAAGCTAATAGCGCAGGGCGTGCTGGAACCCACCGACCACGCCCGCTGGGAAACCCCTATAGTGACGCCTATCAAGCCTGATGGGTCACTAAGAATTTGCGGAGACTACCGGGCCACCTTAAACCACGCACTACAGCAAAGTGCATATCCAGTGCCGGTAGTGCAACACTTGCTCCATTCCCTGGGTGGCGGGAAAGTTTTCGCTAAACTAGATCTAGCCCAGGCGTATCAGCAATTGCCCGTAGATCCGACCACGGCAGAGGCACAAACTATCGTAACGCATAGGGGCGCATTTAAATGCAACCGGCTCCAGTTCGGGGTAAGCGTTGCCCCCGGAATCTTTCAGAGCTTAGTGGAAAGGTTGTTACAAGGGATCAGAGGGGTCGTACCATATTTTGACGATGTACTCATCGCCGCCCCTAACAAAGACATCCTAGAAAAACGACTCAGAGAGGTTTTACGAAGATTCCAAAACGCAGGCCTCAGAGTTAAAAAAGATAAATGCCAGTTATGTACCGAAAAAGTAGAATTTTTGGGATACCTCCTGGACAGCCAAGGAATCCATCCCATCGAAGACAAATTAAGGGCGATTAAAAAGGCCCCCACTCCAAGGAACAAGGCAGACCTACAGGCGTTCCTTGGATTTATCAATTTCTATAATGTCTTTTTACCCCACAAAGCAACGGTAGCAGAACCATTGCATAGACTATTAGACAAAAAAGCAACGTGGGTTTGGGGACAACGGGAACAATATGCTTTCCAACAAGTAAAGAAATTGCTAACTTCTGATTCTGTACTTATGCAGTACAATGAGACTCTTCCGCTCACTATCACATGTGACGCATCACCTTTTGGGGTTGGGGCAATTCTGGCCCACGTATTACCAAATGGAGCGGAAGCCCCCATCGCGTTTTTTTCGCGAACCTTAGCTAAAGCTGAAAGAAATTATAGTCAGCTGGACAAAGAAGCTTTAGCTATTGTGGCTGCAGTTAAAAGATTTCATGAATATGTTTATGGCCGTGCGTTTACGATAATTACTGATCATAAACCGCTACTGGGGATCATTGCGGGTAATAAACCAACCCCGTATATATTGTCCCCCAGAATGACCCGTTGGTCTGAATTCTTGGCGGCCTACAACTACACCTTGCAACATCGCCCGGGGAAATCAATTCTCCACGCTGATGCATTGAGCAGAACACCGCTCCCAGACTCTGTTGTAGATCCAGCCCCAACCATCTCAACACTACAGATCGAAGCTCTACATGCACCACCCTTGACGGCTAGAGACATTGCCTTTGAAACGAAACGTGACCCAGTTCTGCAACACATCCTACGCTGGGTTGAACAGGGGTGGCCGACGGACCAAATAGCACCGGAATGGGTGCCTTTCAAAGCCCGCCAAACCGAACTGTTTTCCCAAAAAGGCTGTATCTTGTGGGGCGATCGAGTCGTAATCCCTGGCAAATTGCAACAAACTGTTTTGGCGGTATTGCATGAAGGACATCCGGGTATCGTGCGGATGAAAGCACTCGCACGCAGCTACGCTTGGTGGCCGGGAATCGACAAAAGAATCGAGGCCTGGGTCGCTACTTGTCAACGTTGCCAGGACGTCAGCAACGCCCCGCCTAAAGCAAGCCCAACCGAATGGGAAACTCCGAGGGGACCTTGGTCCCGTATTCATATTGACTTTGCGGGGCCTACCAAAGGACACACTTTCCTTATTACTGTCGACGCCTATTCAAACTGGCTCGAGATTCATCGAATGAACACAACTACAACGGACTCAGTTATCAATAAATTAAACAGACTATTTGCCACACACGGGTTTCCGGACGTGTTGGTCTCGGACAACGGCCCACAGTTTACTGCATTACCCTTTGAACAATATCTTGCTGATCGGGGCATCCGCCATGCGCTAACCTCACCCGCGCACCCTGCGGCGAATGGACGTGCAGAACGCATGGTACAATTTGTAAAAAAGACCCTTCACAAAATGGAATTTGGCAACATCGACGAGAAAATCAATCGAATTCTCTTGTTGCAGCACATCACGCCCCACAGCGTGACCAACAAAACGCCTGCTGAACATCCGCATTCGCACCGGAAAAGCCCTTTGGCTCCAGCAGCAAATGCCGGGAATTTACGGTAGGCGATTTAATCTTTGCCAAAAACTTTTCCGGCGACCCGTTATGGATACCCGCAACCGTTACCCACCTTACCGGGCCTAGATCTTACCGCCTGCTAACGGACGATGGGAGGGTGTGGAAACGCCACATAGACCAACTCCGATCGAGATTACCACCCAGCACCCATGACTCCCCGGGTTCACCAACTCAAGGGGGAGGAAATATCGAGGAAATTGACTTTGATATGACAAATAGCAGGCCAATGGAAACCCTACGGCCCAGCGAAACACCGGAACTTGAAGCGGGGAGGGAGTTGAATTTTTCAGGGAACTTTAATACGGGGGAAACCGAACTGCAAAACCCCGAAGAAACACGGAGTAGCAGAGACAACCACAGTGGAAGCAGCACGGAATCACCGTGCAGCGAAACTGAATTTAATAAAGATCATCCAAACGCTCCACCGGAACCGGACCTTAGACCAAAACCGGTGGAGCCACGGAAATCATCCAGACAGACCAAACGGCCTGTCTATCTTGAGGATTTTATTACAGCTCCCCTCAAACGGAACCCAAGGGGGAGGGGTGTTGTGAATCAATAAAAGTTACTAGCATAAATGCAAATCAGGGTTTGGAAACCTGCACACCTGATTGGCCCTTATACAACAACTAGGGATT